TGGTTGCATTCTAATTGACTTAATTACCGAAAATGGCCTTAGACATAAAGCTGAACTATCTGATAAAAATTCTATGCAATTTTATGCCAGTATTGAAAAAAACAATCAATCTGATAAGAAAAAGCTGCGACTTGTTTTGAAAATGAGGCGTAAAAGGTTACCAGCGAGAATATTCCGTTTGGCATCGGTTGTACCATTATTGGCAACTTTATCGCTTGCGCCGGCAAAACGGAAAAGTACCGTTATTTGTGTTTCAGATTTAATCAGAAAACTAATCAAATTTAAGCTAATTTCAATTTAATTTAATTTAATTTCAATAATCAGAAACTAACTAAACTAACTTAGACTTCTGTGACTTCCAGCTCTGAAGAAGTGTCGGTAAGCGTTTCATCGTTTGTAAACATTTGCGTACAAAAATTTGTACAACTCTCACAAAATTTTTTTTTTTCATATTATCCTTCACGTTCTTTTAACATTTTTATTTCTAAAGATAGAGTTCTAAGCTTTAATTAGAGATACGTGATCAATTTTTATACTGCTATAAAAATAAATCGAAGGTGCGGACAAATATATAACTCCCATGCGTTTATTCAGATTAATAATAATTATAATTAAAAAAATGATGCACACACATTTCGAGAGGTTTCGGCTGATGTCCCTTTGTGCTAAAAATATTTAAAAACAGCATAACTTTAGAATTTCTGATAGATAGTCTCGCGCGCAGGAGATAAAAGTTTCCCCCCCCTATAGTTTTGCTACTGCTCGCTTTGAAATCGTTGCATTTGTTAATCAAAAATTCATTAAAGTTATACAAAATTTTAAATTGGGAAAAAAAAAAAAAAAAAAAAAAAAAAAAATTTGGAATTCTAAGTTCAGGCTTTCAAGTGCCCATATTCGGTTGGAACACTATGTTATTCATAATTTGATGGCTCTGGGTACCGTTATTTTTTCACAATGCGAGAAACATTAATGCAGATTCTTCATTATTTAGTTTCTTTAAATATAATACAGGGCGATAATATTTGGTGGCAACGGTTTGAAAAGTGAAACAGATATTTATAGTGAACCAACGCAAAATGCTGTTTCTAGACTGATAGCCCTTCTGGGCTAACTCCATTTGGGCTAAAAAAAGCAAAACCGAAATTAGTATGCTCTTTAGATTGTAATAAATTGATGAAAAATAAATAATTTCAGATACCACACTATAATAGAATGTATAATGTAATGTATCATATGTATAATATAACAAATTCGAAATTCAAAATTAGGGTTTCTAGGTGCCGATGTTCGGGTGGAGGAATACGTTATTCAAAATTTGATGGCTCGTTATTTTTTCACAATGAGAGAAACGTACCTACTTTCACGTATATTTTCCTTTATTTAATCTCTTTTAAAATAATACAGGGTGATAATATTTGGTGGCAACAATCTGAAAAGTGATACAACGCTTTTAATAATTCAACCCAAATCCTCGTTTCGAGACTGATAGCCTTTTGGGTTAGGGCCCCTTTGGGTTAAGAAAATAAAAGAAAGATATACTTACAACCATATACATTTCGTTGTAAATTATGTTAATGGTTAAATTGTGAAATTTCTTCTTTATATGTATTTTGAAGTCAGAAAAAATATCAATCATTTAATTTGCTTTTCCAGATATAGCTTGGCTCCTTCATCATAGCAGATTACAAAGGGAAAAGAAAAATCGCTGTTCCCTGTGAATTTGAATCCTATCGTAAAGTCAGATGACATGAAACGTAATTCGTCAATGTAAGATTATCTTTACAAAAAATTCCTGTGAGAGATATTTTTCCTAAGTACAAATTCCTAAATGTTTACTGACGACAAAAGCTTCAAAATACCTATAATATATCTCCAGCAAGTATTTATTTCACTTATCGTTGGATGATCTCTTCACTGAGTTGAGCACAAGTGCAGCTTCACGCTACCCTCGTCACCCGGAGGGACCGGGGCGTTAAATGTCCTTTAATCCCATTAAATAATTTGTCCCGGATTTCTCTTCTTCTGTAATGGAACCCTTGGGGGTACACAGACACCGGATGATCCATATAAAGGGCTTTATCGAATAAAGAGGAGTCCGGGGTTTAGCTTGCTCTTTTTTCGGAAGTTCCAATCCCCGAGTTTTATTATTTAGATAGCAGGATGAAGATGGGATGAATGTGTGTATAAAGGAGGGATTTAGAGAGTGGATTAACCTTTTCGAAGCATGTCAGTGTGTTCTAAATGATTTTTAAACTACTGAAAGGGTCTATTTTGTCTTTGTAATAGACAACTATTTTATATCATAGAGTCTGCAGACTCTATGATATAATTTGAGTAAAAATATTGTTAACAAACATTGAGAAAAGTATTTGTATTTCATTGAAGTATTTAACTACTGTGTGCTATTCCGTCTAAAGTGACTTTGTGAAAGTTGGATTTTATAATTTAAAATTCTGATATGGACACCACATGATTTCCTTGCATGACCTATTAAATTATACACATGTTTTACTTCACTTCATTTGTACCTATTTACTCGAATTTCATTAGTTTCTCATTCAGTCAGTTCAGTTCTCAATTGTCGGTAAGGGGAAAATGCATAAAAACTCGAAACATCTTCATTAAAAGCTGTAAAAATACAGGAAAACCTAAAACACCGAACACAATTAAAAATTTAAAAGAAAAAAATTACAATTAAAAATTAGTTTCTACCGGAAAACCAGCAACTCAGCTAACGGGCACGAAGACAAAATTTTCGATGCACAAAAACTTAAAGTTAACTATTGTTCCGCTGGACAAAAAGACACTCAAGGTGCAGAAACTGACTTAGTTCACTATTCTGCTAAGTTTCAAGTGTAAACAAATGGCTTAGTCGCATTTAAACAGTTTTTAAATTGTTGATAATTCTACAACTATTGTATGCAGAACTAAAAGCATGAAAACCTTAACCAGAATATAAGAACAACATAATTCAACGACTTTTAAAGAATATAAGAATGTGCAATTTACCAACATATAAGAATAAAAACTGAGCTCACCTAACCGAGTAGCAGAGTTGGATATATATTTATATATGTTTAATGCTGCCGATTGCAACAAAAAAGGGATATGCACAACTAGATATTATAGTAGTCCCATATAAAATTTCAACATTCTACAGCTAATGATTTTCGAGTTATGCAAAATACGTACGTACGTACGTAAAGACGTCACGAAAAAAAATCGCTTCTGAATTCATTTTATAATTATTTTTGGAAAAAATAACCCTTTATTCTGTCCGTACGTACAGATGCACTCCGAAACATGGTTCCAGAGCGGTCAAAATGGATTTTTGTTGAAATATGATACCCGGAATTTTTTTACGATAACAGTACTTACTTTACTTCATACAAGGAATGAAAAACAGTTGAAATAAAGGACGTGGTGTTTTGAGGACTGAGAACAAAATCTGCAGAGAAGTTTCTGAAGGGGTTTTAGAATTCACTTAATTTCTTGACATTAGCATTGTAATTTAAATTTCAGATTCTTGTTGAATAGTTCATCTGTACTGAAAAGGCTTCACGCACTCTATATTCGCAGGGAGCATAAACTGTAGTAAGGTGTACGAAATATTTCGAAACTTTTAAGTAGACTGCTGGTATAATAACACTGTATTTAAACTCTGAATGAAAACACAAGCCTTTGTGAAGTACTTGATCTTCCGTCCTATTATTCCTTATTTTAATTTGTAATTAAAATGAATTTCTATTCTTTTCACTAAACGTTTTGCAAATCACAAAGATTAAGCTATAAAATTAGATTGAAAATCAACCTTAAACTGGCGTAAATTTTGAATAAAATTCTACCAGTTTCGAAGGCTATGAGACATAGATATCATTGTTCTTCATGAAAAAAAAAAAAAAAAAAAAAAAAAAAAAAAAAAAAAAGCCTTGTTTTTCCTTTTTTTTCGCTGTCGTAAGCTCGAAACGTTACACACTCACACGTTTTGACTAGTAGTAAGTAAGTCTATCCTCTAGCAACTTGCAATCCCCGACATCAAAGGAATTATGTTTAAGAAAAAAGAAAATCCTTTGACAGAACACTCCTTGGAAGAACAAAACCCAAATACACAGAATAAAATCATTGATGTTTAAACAGAAATTCAAAAAACTAAATTTTGACAAATTTTGAATAAATTCTAAAGTTTCATTATTGTTCTTCATGAAAAAAAAAAAAAAAAAAAAAAAAAAAAAAAAAAAAATTGTTTTTCACTAGCTTTCTGTTGTGAGTAAATTCGAACCGACACACTAATAAGGCGTTTGAGTAAGTAATCCTCTAGCACAATTGCAAAAGAATCACAGGAATTATTTGTTTAAGAAAAAAGAAAATACTACTCATTTTGACTAGAACAAAATAAATTGAAAACATCAAAGGCATTTAAAATGAAATTCAGATGTTCAAAATACACTTACATAAATTAATTCAGTCCTTTTAGAAAGTAACGCCAATCCTTTAGGCAACGTCCTTGCTGCAGGATCATTTCCGAAAAGACCGAATGGTAGAATTGCTGAAATGGCTAAATTACTGAAACGACTAAGGGACACAGCCAGTCCTTTCTCGCCAATTTTATAACTTTTGGCGAAAGTTTGATTAAAATTTCTGAGTTTCAGTATTATTTTGCATTATTTTATGTATTGTTTCCACTGTTTTGCCTTTTTTTTTTATTTTATGTATTATTTCACTTTCTAGTATTTTATTTCTTATTACTTTTAGTATTTGTAACCACCTATCCATAACTGTGTAAATATGTAACTGAAATTGTTCTTCTCACCAGCAATGCAACCTTCTTCCATCATGCACTATCGTCTTGTCCAGCATTTGTTGCACTGCCCCCAGCAGTCGTCTTGAGCACAATATGTATTTATAAGTGTGTAATTTTGTTCAAGTTATTTCCGTCAGCGGGGCTACCTGGCCGATATGCTAACTATGATACGAATTTATGACTTAAAAGTGCAACCAAATGAGGGTGTGAAAATTTTATTAAATCTTCTTTTATTTCTGTGCTGAACACTGAAAAAGGTACCGTACAAATTTACATTATTTACAAACAACAATAGTGGATCAGTTTACAGGAGTTTCTTCACATTTTAAACGTTTGCTTAAGAGTTTCTGCGAATATTTAAAACCAATTGAATTAACTCTTATATGAAACCAAACAATATTCGTTGCAAGCATTTTCTCGATGTGAACTGAATGAAAATAATTCTAAATGAGTAATTAAAGATTATGATCAGCAGATTGTTTAAATCTACATAAGAATGATGTAAAAAAAAAGGTTATAGATTTTCATCTGTACAAACGAAAAATATTTTTTATTAAGTTTCTTTCTTTAAAGCTCAAATTGTTCTTTAAAGTCAAATTAAAACTTTTAGTTAATAAATCTTTAAGTTCAAATCAATCCATTATTATTTTAAAAAATAGTGGTTTTTAACTATTCTTTATAATAGTTTATTACTTTTTTATATTTATGTCTATTTTCCTCATACGTATGTACTTTACTTCATTCTTTATTCACCTATCAAAACTCTACCTTTGATTTACTAGATAATGGTATTTCTAATGTTCGATAGATGGCGTAACCTCTGCTTCTAAATAAATTAACATTGCTACTATCTCTCTTAGAACGTGTTCACATCCGAGAAAAAAAGTTTATAAAGAATTTAGAATATTCTTTATCATATGAACGAAACTCCTGTAAGCAACACGCAACGTTCAAGAAAATCATGGTATGACTAGTATAGACATTTTCATTTAATGCCATGAATCATTTTCAAATATTTGTGAAAATTTGAATAAATAATAATAATAATTGCATATACAAATCAAATAAAATTTTAAGAATATACAAATAGAGCAAAATTATTCAAAATACTGCTAGTTTGCTTTGAAAATAGCACTTCAACTAAAGGTTAATTGCTTCTATGCGTATGAAGTTTCAAATGATATTAAGAAAGAATCAATTGTAGGATTGTTAAGTTTTTCCAATTAGTACATTATGTTCGATAAGCTCATTTAAGATTTAAAATGTATTTAAATTTCTCTAAAAACTGACAAATATATGCGAACGGAAATTATGCGCAATAATCGTAGGTGCTTTAAATTAAACTCATTATTTGTTTTCATCTCGAGTAAGAATGAAATATTTTGCATATTTGCTTTTCCTTTTTAGAATAAATATTTCCTTCTCATTAAATGATATAAAAAAATTGCTTGCCTTACTTATTTTTGTTGTCCCCCTTTTTGTGCTTTCCTTGCAAAAAATATTTTATTTCCGTTATTTGTGATCAAAGTAAAAGTAATCCTATATAAAAATAAATCTTCTACTGTCTTTGGGACTTGGATTGCTAAATAGTATAAGAATGTATATTTTTTTAATATATTATTAATATATTATATTATTAATAGGCATTCTGAATTTTTTTTTCCGCTTTTCTTCCTGTCTCCTATCAGAAAAGTACAGAATTATTAAATACTAAGAACTCTCAGTCTACGATGTTTCTCGGAGTTTTCAATGAATTCGAACTATAAAAAATCATGTAATTAGAATACTTATTATTTATAGTATTCTAATTACATGATACAATACATGATACATTCTAATTACATGATACAATAGCTTATTTTACGAAAATTTAAGAATTTTAATGATTAGATAAAATTAATAACCCTTAAAATTAAATAACCTTTAAAAAATTTGATTAACTCTCAAGGATAGGAAACAATAAACCTTAGCATGAATGCATATCAAATGAGATAAAAATAAACTGTACACTTTTAAACACAAAATAAATTGCCGTTCTTGGTTAGAATTCTATAAAGAAAATATTATACATTCGGTAGATAATTCTAAACGCCACGTAATTAAACTTTCAAATTTACTGTGGCGACAAATAGATTGTAAGAAACCAGTGAGCTGAAGGAACTAAAATGCCATTTCGGTAAACATTGATGTTTGGCTCTAACTATTTGATTTTAGTAGCCATTCAGTTTTCTTTTATCATGTATAGTTTTTCTATTCAGCAAGAAAGTCCAACTTTTGCTAAGTCTAATAGTCGATTGTTCCACATTCTCAGCATGTATTCCTTCTTAAGTGTAATAAAACGCTGTACAATGGGTCACAGGAAAATAAAGTGCGAGTTCTTCAAAGTCATGGTCTTTCTAGATCTGTCTTGTATGGCTGAAACAACTGGGTTGTTCTCTGTTGGGAGGTCTGTGATGTGGTGACGGTCGCTCGCGGCGATTCTTGAGAGGATGCTAAGGGTGGTGTTGGAGGACTGGAGGAGACAACAGGGCGAGGTTGGAAACCCACAAGATGACATCGGCAGGGATCCACGCAAGGTGCTCCAAAAGTTGTAAATTGGGGGGCATCAGCTGCACTCCTGACGTATGTCCCAGCTGTGACTAATGGCTGAGGCGGAGGGGGAGGTATAGGAGCTCTTGCCGGAGGGACGTGGGGGCTTGCCAGATACGGAGCAGTGGCGGCCGGTGGATAGCGCGTGGCAATGGAGGTGGCTGCGTAATACCCGGCGAAAGGTGGTGGCAGAGGATAGCCGGAGTAAGCCGCAGCGTTGATTAGGTACGCCGCAAAATGAGGATCGGCGTACGGCCAAGCAAGAGCCAGTCTCTGTCGTTTGTCTTTCATTCTCCGATTCTGAAACCAAACCTGCAAAATAAATTAAAACACATCAGAAGAAAAGTCTTGTCACTCATTAGATAATTTTTGCTCATATATTTGTTAAACTTTGGATTTAAAATATTAAAGGCGCAGTGACTTTCAAATAATATTTATTCAAAATTTTAAAACAAGCTCGAAAATTTAACTTCTTATAACTTTTGTTTGAAGGAAAAATATTCAATACTTATTAATTCTTATTTATGCTAATCATCAATCGTACGTTTTATGAATGATCAGGAAAGTGGAAACATAATAATTCCGATTATGATAATCAATGCTTGAAATTCAAATTAATTTCAAGACTATTTGCGATGTTTAGATATCTTTACTAAAATTTTCAGTCAAAGGATGGATTTTTTTCTGCTTTGAAATAAGATTATACGCAGAAATAAACTTTTATTCAACGGTACAAAAATTCAAACCAGATGTGTATTGCCCGCAGATATCATGAGCTTGTTTTTATATGTAATTTGTTAACATATCTATCACAAAAACAAATAATTAATTTGCTTAAGTTTCAGAAAATTATTCCATCGATGATATAAGTTTAATTCTTTGTAAAGAAAAGTGCAGAATAATTGTAATCTATATAATCATTAATAAAAAAACTTCAGTCTTTTCTACATTTTGAATTGCGTACGCTGTTTTTCGTTATAATTTTTGTAAATTTGTAAAACATTCTTTCTTTGCCAGAGCTTTCAAAAGTACAAAAATATTTAAAAATCATATAAAACTAATAAACATGTCCTTTTTCTATCTTAAAAGTGGAATGGAGTAACCTGACTCATAACAGTTTCAACTAATAAACATGTATCATTTCACAACTAATCTTGTGATTATGTTAAAGTACCATGATACACAACATATTCACATATAAATTTTAAAAAATGCCACAACGCTGTCTTAGCTTGTTTAGTAAGCATTTGCACTGATATTGGAAGAGAAAGTTGGATTTGATATTAAAAGAGACTAAACTGCTATTAGAAATCGTATTTCTAATTGCAATTTAGCGCTGGTCTTTATCAGAAAAAGTATCTGATGCAAATGTCATTGGCAATCCATTCCAATTTTTGGATTTTACGTACTGGTAGTCTGTTGAAGAGGCAGTCAGTTGCAAACATTTGCAATAGATTGTCTTTCGAAATACGTTGAATTTCTTCTTTTCAGTGTCAAGTACGACTAAATTTCACTTGATAAAATTCAATTCAGCAGTAATTGTTTTAATAAAATTTCCCTTGTTAAAATTAGTTCGGCAGTAAAATTCATTTCGCTCGATTCTCTTGATATGATTTTTGTTTGATTTAGAGCCATTGCAAGTGTTTAGTTGGTTTGAAAGATATTGCAAACCCAAATACCAAAAGTTTATTTTGTACCTTGAAAATTATACTTTAATTGATTATTGTCAAAAAAAAAGCTGCTTAGGTTTTATGCAGATAAATCTGAATATAACAAATACAAAGGGGCCGAAGAAGTTTCCGAATTATAACTATTATACCTAAAATTAATCAGTTAATTCTATTTCTTCCCCATTTGCAAAGAATTACGTATAAGCATCAAGAAAAGAATAAGCATAAAGTTATGTCCTTATGACTTTCTGTTTTGTATATTCACTATGTTTTATATAGTAATAATCGATTAATTTAATTTCTTCTGAAAAATGACTGTCTTAAATCAAACGGAATTTTACCTTCTCACGCTTTTAAACTGCAAAGTTATTTACTAATATTTTAGTAATTATGTTTTCTTGTGACTCGCCGTGCTATTTTTGTACCATAGTCACATAGTAATTAATATGTGTATGTTAAAATATCATTTATTCATCTTGTTTTATAATTGTTAATTATTATGCATAATTACTTACGATATTATATGTAAATCTCTGAATATCAACATAATAATTTCAAATATTTTAATTTGACAGAAAACTTCAAACCGGAGCTTCTGAAATTATTGGCTTGAAAAGTTATTTTAAAATTAAGCTTCTAAATTTATGCATAATTTTTCCTATTTTCAAAATTTATGCCTTAGGCTTTAAATAGATTAATCTTTTTTGAAGCATGACGAAGGCCCATAGAATGGGCTATGAGCCTCAGATGCTTTCAAATTTAATCTGGAAGAAAGTTGAGTAATAAAAATGCCCCTTTGAGCGTAATAAAGCGCACATGAAAGCTTTCGGATTATATATATTTTTTATTATTTATTTTACATAACTTTTTATTTCCAATATACGTTTTAAAATTGCCATTTAAAATTAAAAGGTTTCTATTTCTAAACCAAGATGAGCTATTAACAGTTAAGTAAATTTAAAATTATGAAATATCATTATATACACCTCAATTTTCACATTTTCCTAAGCATAGTTTCTATGTTTTCTGAATACCGAGCTATTAAAAGAGTGTTTTTTAGTCGCAAATGAAGTTGCGCATAATACATGCTTGTTTGTTTCAAAACAAATTACTGAAATTTATATGTGTGACTGATATTTACACTTAATACCATTTTTACTTTAATAATGCACTGTTTTTTCTGTTACTAAAGATAAGTGGCAATGGTAAAAATGAAAAATCTTTGGAAGAAATTTTTTAAAACTTTATTTTTATAAAAAAGACTACATATATTGGAACTAATTAATATATTTGTCTATTTCACCAATCAAACAAGCTTGATATTATTCCATGTATAAAAATTAATAATGTCCGCTCTTTAAGACTGAATTTAATCGTAAGTTACTTTTAGCATCATTCCTCGCAATAAAATCGCTTAAAATCTATAAACACAAAACAACTGATAAAGTTAACATGCTATTAGTACTATCAACCATTTAAATTTCAATTAAAAACTGACTGAAGTCGCAGTTAATTTCGTTACGCAAAATGATTGCAATAAATTTTAATTTACCACAGAACGAACTGAATTTAAATTTCTACATTTAGTTTGCTTCGTAAAAATTAAAATAATTCTCTTTGTAAGTTAGTTTAAGAAATTTTACTTGAATAAATATTTTCATTTCGCTCATTACATAAGCTAAATGGGGGAGAGAGAAATAAAAATAAACAAATCTGTAAGAATTTACTATTTGCATTCTAGCTATTCAGCTTTATTTTTCGAAATAAAAGAAAAATCAAATTATGTACGTATTAACGCAACCACCTTGGAGCAGTTTGGCAATTTTTACAAAAGGAAAAAAAGTGATTTGGTGAATTTCGGATTGCAGCATATAATGGATATGATTACCTAAAGAACTCTTATGCGCATGGTTGCCAGAGTTTGGCGACTTCTACTAAGGTGACTACGATAATACGTATGTACCAAAATTTATTACAACAACCAACACATCTGATAGCCTGTATACATTGTTTTTCAAATGAAAATTTTAAAAACCTTAAAACACAAAAATTTGTGAATAAAAAAGAACGGTAAAGTAAACTTAGCAATGATGGTATTCTAGTATTCACTTTTCCTAATGAAAATTGATTTTCATTCGAAAACTTCATCTCAACCTAAGGCAGAAATGGTGAGATATTTATGAAGTTTGGAGTAAATATCTCATCTTTTAAAAATTTATGTACTTTTCGCACTGAAGAAATCAAATTTAAGATTTATAAGCTATATTTTACGTTAAAAAGAATTTACTAGTAACGTTTTCAAAAACTTTGAGAGAAAAGTAAAGGGCGGAGAAAGTAAGTTTGTTTTGTTTTCCTATTCGCTCTCATCAGGTATTATAAATCCTTTAAACACTTTCTCAATTTCAAGTGCAAGATGCATTTTCTAAGTGACGATTTCTAAAAATTACTGTGTGAATTTAAACTTTCTGGATTATATGTATGACGAATGTTTAAGTTTGAATTTGTAAAGTCAAAAGAGCAAATTTTAATTGTATTTATATTTCGGCATAATCCTCAGCTATATTTATACATTTATCCTAGCATTTAACTAATCCCTGAAAATATTTGGCATAGAGATATTATTTGTCAGTACGGCTGAATCAACTTTATCATCAGTGTGAAAGGCTGAACTCCGAGAATTTTTTTTTAAGTCCTGCGTAATGGATGTATAAACAGTCATTAAATCATGCAAAGCAAGGGAGCGATGGCTTCATTGAAAACCTTCTAAGGGAAAGTGGTTTATATCTCCACAAATGGAAAAAAACACACGAAATAACCCATGCAACCAATCCGTTTGCTTGGAATCGAACCCAGGTCGAACTACCAGTGTTTGTGAATTTACCACTTCGTCAAATATGAGCAAGAAAAGAATTCCCCTCTAGCACAATATATACAATCTTCACAAATATTTACAGTTTCGAAAACACAATGCATACTGGTAACTAAGACAACTTTTCGCTTTTGACCGGCATAGAAGAATTTAAGTTTTCCCACAGTTGAAGATGTGTTTATTCCTAAAGAGTTTTCTTTCAATGCCAAAATATTTCAGAGATTAGTTAAACGCTGAGATTAAATGTATAAATATAGCAAAGGGACACCTCAAAAAATAAATGCAGTTTCCATTCGTCGATGTATGATCTTTTATTTTACAAAATCTTAAATCTTGATTTTGATTTGAATGCCTCTCTCATATGTATCAGTTTAATATATCTGTATGTGTACATTCTGTATTGTAAGAAACAAATCTATTCGATAAACATATCGAGAATCAGATCTATATCTTGATTCAAAATAAATTACCATTAATGTTGGTTAACTTCATAAAAATCTGTCTCGAAATTAGTCATGAAATCCAGAGATATAATTTCTTAAAATATTTTCTGTAAAATGCTTCGACCAGTAACCGTTAACATCGTTAAGTTTAACCGATGAAGAATGTGATATCAGTATATTAATAACTTAAATGTAATTATTTTGATCACAGTAGAAGTGACACTAAATAATAAAAGTAATTTTCTGATGTTAGAATTTAGGAAGAAAGATGGTCACTGCCTTCTCTATTTTTCTAAAAGCAGTTGCTGGAAGAAAGCTTTTACAGGAATAATCTGCAGAACTCTTACAAACGCAAATGCAAAAAAAAAAAAAAAGACATCTTGAATTATATTATTCCTTTATTAATTTATCTTAGTATAAAAAATGAAATATAAAATACAAAGAAGAAAAATTGATTTAGTATAACATTAATTTCTTTTTAACGACAAAAAATTCAATTCATAAATTTGAAGAGAAAAAAAAAAGATTGAATATTTTTTATGAATGTAAATACAAAACTGAAATAATCATAGCGAAAACAAGAATCGTATTCCAGAAGTTTCATTCTCACCTTGATAGTCGATTCTGGTAAATTAAGCGCGGACGCCAGTTCGCACCTCCTCGGTCTGGAGACGTAGTTCTCCCGGCAAAATTCTTTCTCTAGTCGCGCCAGCTGCTCCCTCGTAAACGCAGTTCGGTATCTTCGCATGGAACTGAGATCCTCTGGAAAAAAAAAAAAAAAAATATTCACTTTACTTACCTTCTATCAATACGCTGAATCAAAAGCCTCAAATATTACAATTTTAATTTTTTTTATCATTTTGCGAAAATGCTTCATAGTAATACACATACTAAATATATCCAGTCGCCTCTTTTTATAATATTAATATTTCAAAAAACTTTAAAAAGAATATGTGTAGAAAATAAAGTTGTTTTTCTATCTACATATATATCTTGAAATCTGTCTTGAAAATAATCTGTCTTTTTCAAGTCAGTTGCACTAACATAACCTTAAAGGCAAATTTTACTAATTACAAATCTGCAATAAGCAAAAACATCTCCCTGTCTACTTCACGCAACCTTGCAGAATTATTCGAGCTAAGTTGAGATTAATTACTAATTGATTAATAAGCATAAAACGGAAAATAGGAGTTATTTATTTAAGATGTTTACAATTATACTTAAGTGTTACCCGTAAGTTTTCTTTCAAATTGACTAAGTCGATTCGAATAGCGGTTTGTCTCATTTTCATTACTCCGAGCGAAATATTAACTCGATAAAAACATTTAAGGAACAATGATAACCTTACAATTCTAAATGAAAGTTAGATGATGTGCAGCACCATCTCAGATTAAACCTTAATTTAACACCTGTTTGCTTTCCTTCTGTGAGTTATAACTATCAGTATACAGTAAGACCCCGCTTAACGCTGTTTCGTTTAGCGCTGTTTCGGTTTAGCGCTCGTTTATTTCAACCCAGGAATTCCACGAAATCGATTGCAGCATACGGGGATTCCCCGAAATATTATGCAGCGATAGGTTTCAAATACATATCCGAAAGAATGTACTTGTATTTCTTGTTTGGTGCGGTATTGTACAGACATATTTTGAAGGGGTAAATGTGGAATGTCGAAGAAATAATTCAAGAAGCAGCGGCTAGTCTTTCTAATGATGAGCTCAAGGAATTAACTGAACAAGAAGAAAACAAAAATGTTGACAGCAGTGATTCAGAAGAAGAGCAAAAAGAACTTTCGATGGCGTTTGTAAAAAGGAGTTTGTCTACCATAACTGAAATAATGGATCAATTCATTGAAAATGATCCGAATTTTGACAGGAGCTCAAAAGTAAGGCGTGGTGTTAAAGATGCTCTATCCGTTTATGAAGAACTTTTAAGAGAACAACGCAAAAGAAAAAGGCAAACAACATTAGATGCTTTTGTCACAAAAAGGCAGAACACTGAAAACGCGGAAGGCTAACTAAATATGACTGACTGAGAATTTTATTTGTTTTTTTTTTAAGAATATTCGCTTTGTTATTTATATTTTGTTTTTATTTTTGCAAGAAATAATAATGTGGTATTAATTTGGGCTTTAAGAAATAAATGTTTGGTTTTATTTTTATTAAAAAAAACATACTTTTTAAATTTAATACCTAACCAATTTCCTAGCCATCTTCCCCTAACCCCAATATTTACATGTAAAGATAGCCTCGTTTAGCGCTGTTTCGCATTACGCTCTACTTTGATGGAACGTATTCCCCGCGTTAAGCGGGGTCTTACTGTACTGATATAGTTAACTTTATTAATTTATGATATATTCCGCTCATTAATACCTCATAAAGACTAACAGCCTACTTTCAATTTCCCCTATATAATGATTGCTTCTAAAGATAGAATCACTTACTGAGTTTTCTTTATGAAGCTTTCAAATCTCTAGCTGTTCCCAAGAAATGCATCTTTTCCCGTTATTAACAATCATCACCTTCTCTGGCTCCCATTAATATAGCTTCAGATCTATGATCCTCTATTTACAACTGTCAACAGCTCTGTCGGATTCCTGTCAAGACCTGCAAATGTATTACCTTACGCCGAAGCTCGTTTATAATAATTACCATTGGGGATGAATCCCAAATGCGTTTTGGACTCTGAAGCCTTTCATAATTGTCTTTAGCACAGTTGGAAAAAGCCATTGAGAACTTCATTAGCTGGAGTTAGTTGGCACATGACGAGCTCTTCTGGACCCAGATCTAACCACTTGGAAAACACATTATTTTAGTAAATCACGAAAATATGTAAACTAGAGTGATTGGACTTGGACTTCAGAATCCCCATCAATAATTATGACTTCTCGACTAATGTACCATTTAAATCATTACTAGTCCATTACTTTTATTATTCACAACAGCTGCAACAAAATACGACTAAGTCACAGCATCCTTTGGCAAGTAAATTATAGAAGTTATTAATATCAGTTCAATGTAATGCTATTGATCACAAGCTAATAATAAACATTTTCCTTAAAGTTTTAGTCTTTAAATGAATTCTGAATTGAATGCTTATGTAGTTCTGAAGTTGGTTAAGACTTGACCAATTCATACACAAGTTTTCAGATGCTAAAAGTTAATCTAAAATAATCCGAGAAAATTATAACTAATTTTAGTGAATTGAGAGAGGATCTTATTTAAAATTATAAGTATTACAAATCAGAAAAACTGATTTCATTGATTATAATTTACATAAAATCCGTCAAAAATCGACATTTTTTTAAAAGATTTTTTTTTTTGCGCATTGAAAATATAAAGTGAATTAATTTCAATGGTAAATTTTTTAACACTGTGGAGATACCAGTACGTTTTTGCTTCCATTCCATGAAAGAAAGATTTGCCTGGCAAAATGGGAAACTAATTCCCAAACCTTGCGACCTTCTTCATTTATCGTTTAAGTAGTAATTAAAATTTTAAATTTCCTGAATTATCTTTCAATAATTATTGTGTACCATATAGTATGTGAGAATTATATATAGTACATCTTCAAAACATGCTTGATACATACAATCATTATTTATCATTAATAGAGGTCATTAATAGAGGTAAGCCGTTTGGTCGAGCGGTAAAGGCGCTGAACACTGGTAGTTCGGGTCCGAGGTTCGAATCCCGCGAACGGGCTGGCTGCATGGCCGTTTTCGTGGTTAACTGAATAATCCAATCCAATCCTTTACAAAGTTCAAAAAGTATGTATACATTTAGTTAAATTTATATTATTTTTAATATCTTTTATAAATTAAACAAGAAAAAGAAAATATTGCTAAATACGAAAACTTGAACAAAAGTATTTTTTATGCTCATAACTAAAATTAAATACTTAACAAGTAAATAAAAGGCTGACCTCATTCCCCCCCTGAAACTATAGAATTCTCCCCTAGGGGTAAATTCTTCCCTGGCTGAGAACCCCTGGTCTCTAGTATGCTTTTCAGGTGTTAAGAATAAATTTGAAATATCAGATAGCAACTTTCTTTAATTCTCAGGTATGCCGCGCATGATTCTCCTATGACAAAAAAAAATTTTTTTTACACACATTATCAGAAGAATAATGTATTCAAATAATGTTTTAATATATGTTCATATTAATCGTATTATCCATTTCTGGTTGTGTTTATTACTGTATTTCCACGTATTTTTGCAACTGTTTTTTATTAATCGAAATTTAAGATTCAAGAAAATCGCTCTAATTTTTTCTACAACTATAATATATTTATTGTTATACGGTATCTGATGAATTCCCAAGTCATAATTCTATAAAACATTCCAAAACTTTCGAGTTTCTCACAGTACGTAGCATGTTACTAGAGCTAAGATTCAATTAACGGTTGATTACTGGTGCCCATAAAGCACAAAGCAGAAGTCGTTAAAAAGGGATAATTTGCTTTTCTGTTATCTTTATTAAACCAGCATATTAACGGAAACTCTTAATTTATTCCTGACTTGATGTTTCGTTTTTCCTAATACCAATTCACAGATTCCTAAGTGTCTTTTTAGTGTGTGTCATGTTAAATTACAATTAGAACCATCTATGGTAGGGAGATCCTCATTACCTTTCTACAAATTTCAGTTAAGCTTTCTCTTAAAATAATTTTCAACCATCTGTACTCCATTCACAAATTTTCCCCTCCGAATTTAACCTCTTGGATTTTATTTTGTAGGCTCAAGATATGATACTCTCCAGCCATCTAGTCTGCCTCTGAATTCTACTTTTACCAATTAAATTGAAATTTCAAAAATTTGCAGCCGCATATGCTCATCTTCTTGAAGAACATTATTTGTTTTTCCAATTAGATGGCAACGTCTAAAGTATTCCGTTTGGTGTTTTTCACGTGTAAAGACTCTACACTTTTCTTCTTAAATATACCTAACGAAAATAAAGGTAAAAAAACCGGAAGTAACGTTTATGTATCACCAAAAAAAAATTGCACTTTAAGCAAAAACTTATATTCATTATTTAATGTTCAAAGTATTCATGCAGCTAGAGAAATTAATAAAAGAAGATTGATGAAAAATTTAAGAAAAAGCTAAAACTGTATTAAAACTGCGATATTTATTTTGATAAATATTGAGTTCCGTCGATATTGAGTCCGTTCTGCGATATTGAGTTCCGTCGAAAACGATCACGAAGCGATTTATATAGTAAAGAACTTAGCGGAACTTGATAGAAAAGTTATTTGAGAATCTTAAGTTTCCGAATATAAATTTAATTAAGGAGTTAAGTAAAGAAGGCAGCTTGTATTTAATGTCATGAAAATACCTTCTAATTACTGTATCTTTTCAAATGATATTATATGAAAGATGGGTGAATCATGTTGCCTATGCAGAAATTAGCCATTATCTGTACACATTAACAATTATTCGTAATTAGCTTTATGCAATTAAAATTTGACATAAAGATATATATCTTTCAGAGAGATACCTTCGTGAAGATTTGCCCGTATTTTGAAGCACAGGAAAAAAGATTCGAAAACTTCGTGCAGCTTGTCCATTATTGCCGGAGTTATAACTCGAGGAGAAATAAATGTAATTTTAAGACTTTAAGACACAGGTATTTCGTCGCAAGTTTCTGCAGGTATGTCAGGATAAATACAAAATAGGAGAAGTGTTAGCATAAATGCAAAGGATTTCCATTAAGAGGGCTCATTCACTTTAAACCCCTTGTGATCTTCGAATATGTGACTGTTATTTTAAAAGCAATTACTTCCAACTTTTTACAGCTGACTACATAATATAGCTGCTTTGGAAACTAGTAACCAGAAAGTTTGTGTTGCCACAAATATTTTTGCAATTTAATCCGC